CATGTATACATGTGCACTGTGTGTGCAGTGCCAGTGGAGGCTGGAAGAGGGCATGGGATCCCCTGGAACTGGAATTACAGATGGTTGTGAGCTGCTGTGTGGGTGCTGGGAATCAAACCCAGGTCCTCTGAAAGAGCAGCAAGTGTTCTTAACTGTCAAGCCACCAATCTTACTTTAGAAAATGTAATGTTTTTACTTTTTCTTTGAGAATTTCATACATGTATATGATATGTTTTGATCATATTTACTCTCCAAAACCCCCTCTAATTCTTACCAGATGCTCCCAGATCCCACTCCAGACTTCATGTCCAATTTTTTTTTAAATAACCCACTGAGTTCATCTGGTGCTATGCACATGCATGTGGTTATGGGGTCATCCACTGGAGCTTGGTCCGTAGAGGTACCAGGATGACATTCCTAAAGAAAATAGCTTCTCTCTCTGCCAGAAGCTGTCAGTTTCTTAAGTAGCTCCTTATGTAGGGGTGTGGGCTTGTGTGCCCCTCCCCAACCCATTAGGGGCTGTGGATTGGCTTGATCTTGTGCAGGTAACCACAGCTGCTGTGAGTAGTTGAATGCAGCATTCCTGACCAGAGCAATCTCATCTTTTGAGGACCTGCTTGTCTTTCATCCTCTTGTGGGTTTCCTTTAGTGGAAGGAGTTGCCACTGGCTTCATGGTGGGACATTCCTCCCCCAGTGTGAGCACCATGTCATGTGGCAGAGGTGAACATAGTTTCCCACAGCTGCCTGTGGTCACAAGCAATGAACTTGGTTTTCTTGTTATCAAGCACTTGAATGGTGCATGGGTGAATCAGGGTTGCAAAGCACAGGGAAAGAGTGCTAGCCATGATGTCTGTGGGAACAGACTTCCATATAAAGGAAAACCACATCTGAAGAATCTGGAGTAGAATGACTTTAACCTATTGAATAAGGAGGAGGAAAGCTATTAGCGTGGCTCAGTGTGAAGATGCAGAAAACATGGAATATAATATGATGTGGCTTCTGACAGGTCTAATATTTGATGGAGACTGAATCATTAACTCCTTGCTTCAATCTGAACAGTTGTCCCTAGACTCGACATCATTAGATACACAGATATTTACACAACAAGCATAGGTGATGGAAACACCCCTTAGGCAGTGGAGTTGCGATTAAAAGTAGGTATTCTTGTGGAATAGGGAACTTCCTTTCTTTGAACCCATGCATAGTCTATAGAGGCCTCCAGATCTATTTTTCTCCAACATGCAAGGCCACCTGCTTAGAACAATAGTGACCTGTAACTCCTCTTTCCCAGATACTACTTGCAGAGTGGGCATGTACTAGTGGACCCACCACCTCTGCTGTCTCCAGAGTCCACCATCAACTGTTCCTTTGTGAAGAAGAGCTCCAGCTTCCAGGGCACTGTGGGCATACTGGTCTACCAGGGCCCAAGTGTTCACTTGGCATTGCTGTTCTCTGTTCCCTTCAACTATGCCCTTCACAGAATTGAGTTTGCCTTAGCCATCATGACTGAGCCAGTCTCCAGAGACCTGGAGAGGGTCTTTGATGACATCATTCAGGGCAAAGGGTCTCCGGAGCTAAAGGCAGCAAAGTGTGATCTTCAGATTCCTCATGGGACCCTGAAGCTGGAACACGATTCCTTGATCATCAGAGCCACAATGTCCAACATCCATGTGGCTAAACTGGATGTAGTGGTTGAGACCAAAAAAGCTCCTTAAAAGTCTCTTTCCTCCATCCATAGCTGCTTGTTTTATACTTCCAGTCCCATTGCTTGGCTCTGTAAAAAAGAGAGACCTCAACTGAAATCATGGTCCATCTCTGCAGAGCCAAGGAACTCTAAGAAGACAACTATTCTGTAAATGCTTGCTGCTTGACCAACAGATTGATGATGCATTTCTTAGTCCCTCAGCACCCTCCTGCATCCTGTGTCACCCATGATGTCTCCTTTATTCTTCATTCCCTGCCATGCTGTTGTGGCTTGCCTTCCACACTTTTCTCCCTCAACAACTTCCCTTCCATCTGCTTTAGATAGATACCTTCATTGGCCGTCTTGTCTGCTGCCTCACCCTTCCTTTCTACTCCTTCCCACTAGTAAATCAGTGGTCAAGCTTGATGGCTCCGCATCTGACTTGGGTCCTGGTCCCACAATTTGCTCACTATCAGAACACAGGCAAGTCCTTTCACATGTGAGCCTTACTTTCATCATCTGTGGAGTAGATAATTGTGTCTGTGTCTGGGAGGCTCATATGAATTAAGTCCTAAGACCTTAGACCAGCTCTGGTAAAGGCAAAGTTTTCAAGAGGCATTACTTATTATTTTTTCCCCAAGCCAATATTCTTTTCTTTTGATTAAAACATTGTAATTTTTAGATGGCATATAAGATAATTGGGTTCATCATGGCTTTCTATAGCCATAGATAATTGTATTTGTTAATATTTGTTCCCCATTACCTCCCTTTGGCCATACTTCCTTCTCATGTGGGTCTCCTTCCTCCCTCCAAAAAATCCTCTCCTGCTCTTGTGTCATATATATGTGTGCATAAATATGTATTTTAACCTCAATTCTGCATATAAAAGAAGACATGCAATATTTGTCTTTTTTCTCTCCTAATTTCCCTCTTGTCATCTATCTCTTTGGACTTCTCTCCTGACACCAAATTGTCCCTCTTTCACTTTTACAACATACGTAATACATAGAGATAGATAAGACAAAGAAATAGGTGATAGATGATAGATATGAGGCATATAGATAAGATAGATAATTAGTAGATAGTTCAAGGTAGATAGTTAAGATTGGACAGATGATAAATAGATGACAGAAGAATGATAGTAGGTAGATACTGAGATAGCTGTTACACTTAGGAAGGAAAACATGATAGTTGTCTTTTTGAGGCTGGGTTATTTTGCTTAACATGATGGACTCCAGGTCTGTCCATTTCCCACAAACAATGTAACTTCACTCTTCTTGATGGCTCAATAAATGTAAAGACTGCTTTGAGCTGAATTGTTTATTTCTTCTAAAAAGTAGATGCCATACCTCATGTGCTTGTAGAGATGACATTAAAAGGAAATGGGGAGTTTTCAGATGTGAACAAATTGAGATGAGATGACTAGGGTGGGTGCTAATCCACTATGAACATGGTTGCTGGTAGTAATGGCCATATTAGAGGTGCAGCAGATGGCAACCCAAGTTCAGATGTCAGTCCACCAGAAGAATATCTCTGATGGATATGTCTTGTTCAAGCAACACTTAATGGGAATACAGACTCCAGACTGTATTTTGCTTCTGTTGTCTTCCTGCATACTTGCTGCTGCTATGTATGCAGTGTGGGGAGTTCCCCACTGCCTGTATTAGTATGTATTTATCTCATTAATACATTTCATCTATTGGGCATTTACATCTGTGGATGGTCAGGAAGGTGATTTCTGCTTAAGCTGGGTAATTTTGATGAATAGAAATAATATTAGTATATTTTTCATAAGTAGTTTTGTTTCATGTTGTTTCATGAGGACTGTGAGATACTTAGGACCTGTTTTATATCATAGCTCATGCTGACATTGGAAAATAGTTGTATCTGCCCAGCTCTAAGACAGCTTTCATACCATTAGCTGATTTAATGCTTCAAAGTAACTTTAGATGAAGTCCAGGTGTCTTGATAATGGATTTTTAGATAAACATCCCCTGTCTTAGTTCACAAGGACATACGAGCTACCTGGCTAGGTCGTATATATGAAAAGCCCAATTATTACTAGCTAGCAAATGATTTAGTCCTTGCACCCATTCCTGGCCTCAATTTGTGAAAATATATTCTGACTAGTCAAGGCTACAGAAAATAGCTTGACTGTATAGCCCATAATGTGGGCTGTGGATGTTTTTAGATAATTAGAAGTTACATGCAGGACAGAAGAATGGCGCACACCTTTAATTCCAGCACTCGGGAGGCAGAGCCAGGTGGATCTCTGTGAGTTCGAGGCCAGCCTGGGCTACCAAGTGTGTTCCAGGAAAGGTGCAAAGCTACACAGAGAAACCCTGTCTCGAAAAACCAAAAACAAACAAACAAACAAAAAAAAACCAAAAAAAAAAGTATTTTAAAACTTAAAAAACTTTTAATGTCACTATGTCTTGGAGAATGCCAAAGTGAGCTCATATTAAGAAAATTAAGGTACACCTGAGTTCCAACTAAAGCATTTATGGCACTTCTCTCTGTAAACACTCCTAGTCTACAAGTTTAAAAATATAGGATAGCTGGGCAGTGGTGGCACACGCCTTTAATCCCAGAACTCAGGAGGCAGAGCCAGGCGATCTCTGTGAGTTTGAGGCCAGCCTGGTCTACAGAGTGAGATCCAGGATAGGCACCAAAACTACACAGAGAAACCCTGTCTCAAAAACAAAACAACACCCAAAAATATAGGATATATGCACAAATTTCTTATTTTTCTTAAACTCCTCAGTAGTTTAGCTTTATTTATCTCTAGATAAATAAAAATAACTGGTTCTTTCCTTAAAGCTGCAGCTGTGAGATTACAGCCCACCAATTAGGAAGCTGAGATTTATTGCATGTGTGTTGTTGGGATGACTGTCTCTTATCATTTACTTAAGGAATGGAATGTGACCTTAAAAATGTAACTCCTATATTCAACTTGAAAGAGTCTGTTGAATATATATATATATATATATATATATATATATATATATATATATATATATCTGTGAAGAATAAAGAGATAGAGAACAACATGAGAGAATAAGGAAAAGTGACCATCAGAATAAGTGTGAATGTGGTTCCTTCCCTAAAAGCCCTCAGATAGAAAAAAGTCTTAGCTTCATGACACTGTGGATTCCTTGCAAGCCCTGTGTGCAGCCTTGGAGCTGGTTCGCTAAGACTGCAATACATTTTCCTCACAGGAGGAGAATTTGAACATGTAGACAGATGTGCACACAAGTACTGGGCTATGATACCATGAAGGGAGAGGTTGCCATGATGCACACACGAGGCAAGGAATACCAAAAATGGCCAGTGAATGATCAGTTGTCACAATACTGACATCTGGGTTAAAAGGTCTGGGCTCAGAATCCTGTGTTGCAATGTCCATATCTTCTTGGTCTCCTCCAAGTTCAGTTGGGTTCTCAATCATTCCTCCACTCTGTGGCCTTGGTGTTTTGAAGGGTTCAGAGTAGTTGCTTTAGTAGTTTTGATAGCTGGCTATGATTGAATTCAGGCAAATCATAAAAGTGATGAATGCTGTGTCATGCAGAAAAAATTGTTCATATGTGTGCATGGGAGCATGTGCCTGCACATATGCTTGCAGAGGCCAGAGGTGGACATCTGGTATTCTGCATTATCATTATTCACCTTATTCCTTTGAAACAGGATCTACCAACGGAATTTAGAGCCAGACTGGTGACCTGCAAGCTCCAGTGATCTTCCTGTCTCTGTGTTCATAAACATTCACAAGGTCATGCCTAGTTTTTGTGTTAGTGCTGAGATTACACTTGCAGAGCAAGTGTTCTGAGTCCATCCCACTTTGTCCTTTATGCGTCTTATTAGGAGATACATTATTCTGTTTTGTTAAACTAGTCAGGATATTCATTTTGATCACTTAAGATATGCCCACTAGAGACTTTCACATTTACACATTATTTTCAAATTTACCAGCACATTCATGGAATTCCATGGTGCTGAATTCTAGGTTCTTCTGGCATATTCCATGACTGTCTGAGCAATCTCTTGCTTTCTGGCATAAGATGCCTCAGTTTTGGGGAAGGTGGGGACACTCCATATTATGTGACCTACCTGTTCCAGTTTGACTTCCAGTGGCTGTGATGTAACATCCAAATACTATATCCACTGAAAGGAAACAAGGCCCCTTGAAGAGTAGTGGAATCCATGTATAGAAAAGGATATGCTCTGTCTACTGAGGCATCCAGAAGGAACAAGGGAAAAGATGAGTAGAGGATGAGTGAGTGTCATGCTCTTCATCTTGTGCACATTCACTTCTTAGAGCCTAGTGTTTGTTGTGTAGCAATTTTCTTCTGGAAAGAGGAAGGAGGCCTATAAGACTCACAAAGCTTTCAAACCTATGAGTCTCAGGAAGCTCATGAATCTTACAAGACTAAGGCATCTCAGATCATTACATGATTCACAAGGTTTCTCTCCAAGGTTATACAAGTCTTAAGCAATTTCTAGTGATGAGAGGACTCTTCAGTGGAAGTGCTTGCAAGTTGTGTAGGGATTTTTCAGCATGTGGCATTCATAAATCATTACCCATGCTGGGATGGGCTTTTTGGATATACAGCTGCATCTGGGTCATAACCCATTGCTTATATTCCTGTAGGCAGCACCAATAAACTCAGAGATTCACCAAATGAGACTTGGGTGGAATAATTTCTTTGGTTGATTGCTATTGCCTTATCTTAGGGAGAATACACATGTATTTATGTCTTATTAAGTCACACAAAACTCATGTCAATTGATCCCTTTTTTATTTTTGTGTATTCTTTGGCATTTTCCTATATGTATACAATATATCATGAGCATATCCACACCAAATTTCCCCTTCCCACTCCTGCTGGACACCTCTTAACACTTCCCTTCTCTCTGTGTGTCTCAAAATCCACTGCTAACTGATCTTGTTGACTTGATCTTGTGCAAGTAACCATAGGTACAGTAAGTGCATGAGTGCAATGGCCATGCTATGTCCAGAAGACAGTATTTCACAGTACTTTTCTCATCCTTTGGTGCTTACATTCTCTCACCACTACTCCTTAATGTTTCCTGAGCCTTGAGGAAGGGGTTGATAGCAATGTCCTATTTAGGGCTGGACACTCAACAAACATTTATTCTCAGCACTTGACCAGCTCTTGTCTCTGCATTAACAGCTGCCTGTTGAAGAGAGAAGCTTTTCTAGTCAAGGTCAAGTGCAGCACTAAATATTTGGAAGGCAGTTTGGCAACGTATCTATTTAGCAAAACAACAGTATGTAGGCTCCCCTTAAGATCTATGACCTTCTGGTATCAAGGATTCTTGCACCCTGCTCCTTTGAGCACACGACTGACTTAGGAAATACCACATCCATCCTTTCCATCTTTCAGTCACCAAAGGTCAGGCTTAGATGAATGTTCAAAATGCTTGTTGGAACAGCAAATGAGCGGAGGCTTCAGTCTAATCCCCATATCAAAATGTACTATCCAATTCCATTCTGGGGATAAAAGAGTTTCAGAGGCCCGCACTAGCTCTCCCCTCCCATCTCACTCCAGCCAGATGGGGAGGTAGGAAGAGCTATCCCTCCACTGTCTGATTAGAGATTTCCCATGAGCTGTCACAGATCTGTCACAGGGACTGAGGGAGAGGCCAAGAGAGGCAGGAAGAATTGGCAAAGGATTGAGACAATCAGGAAGCTGGGCTGCCTGCTTCAGGGGAGCAGGAAGGAGGGGCCATCTTGACATCAGAGCTTGGTGAACTCTACCTGCCCCCATGCAGTTTCCCATGGGCCCTGCCTGCATCTTTTTGAGGAAAGGCATTGCTGAGAAGCAGCGGGTGAGGTGGGGATGATGCAGAAAGGTTGTGGGAAGAGCAAAGGGTCCTGGGGCATGGGGAAAAGGGAGGAGTATGCAAGTGCTGAGCCACAAGGGGAGCTGGTGAAGAGAGCAGAGCATGAACTGAGCTCAGGTAGCACTGTGTGGGCACAGGGGTCGGAAGTCGGGAGCAAAGGGGGATGGTGGAGTGAGAGAAATGTAAAAGGGAGATGGGATGGAGCCATTGTTGATAACATCATTGTTTTATATGGGAAATCGTACAGTGATGGTGGTGATGACGGTAATGGTGCCGCTGCTGCTGCTGCTGGTGATGACAATGTTGATGGTGAAGGTGGTGGTGATGATCATGACAATGGTGATAATGGTGGTGGTGCTGCTGCGTCTGATGATGATGGTGGTGATGGTGTTGATGATGCTGATGGTGGTATTAACAACAGCTACTGCTTATTGAGTCTTGCTGTGTGCCTCATCCTGTGCAAAATAGTTTACATGCCTGATAATGGCATTCAGTCCTTAGATCAGCATACGAGGTTGGGTATAATTTCATTCCTGTTTTACAAGGGAGCACACTGAGACCATTAAATCACGAAGTATCTTACTTTAAGTCTATAGAGTTAATGAGTGTCACAATTTTATTTATTTATTTACTTATTTATTTATTCATGTACTTATTCATTTACTTATTCAATCTTGTTTGATTCTTAGGAACATGGTCTTCATTGTAAGGCTTTAAAATCACCAGAAAGGGGAAGAAAAAAAAGGAGAGGATAGAGAGGGAAGAGGAGAAGATGGAAGGGAAGAGAAGAGAAGGTGACACAGGTCACGGTGGGTCAGGGCAGGGAGGAGAAGACAGGAGAAAGGAAGCGAAGGGAAGATGGGGAGGGAGAGAGGAAGGAAGGTAAGAGATTACTTGGGAAGAAAAGAGGAAGAGAGTCCAAAGTGAGGAGGTCTCAAATTGCATGGTTGATAAGGAGTAAATTCCGAGGCACTATGCCTGCTAACCGAGCCTACCCTCAGGTGTACTCACGAGTAGGGAACCATGACCAGTAATTCTCAGATGGGAGACTGACACTGAACGTTCTTCACGAACCACCCTGAACACTTGTTTCACACAAGGGGATGTTCACACTGGGAATGAGCATGGCGGTTCTGGAGTCAGTGGGATGTAGGAGAAAGAATTTGGCATGGGAGTCAGGAGTCCTCCATCCTAGCCCCAGCCCTGTGTCTGACCTCTGAATGATCTCAAAGGAGTATATGTGTCATAAAAGTAGAAGAGGGTATTACTTCAGGGAAGAGATGGGACTGGGAAGAGAGGAATATGTGCTAGATGTAGTTGTGGTGCCAAGAACAGCAAAGAACAATGATATAGATGTGTGACAATGTAAACCTGTTTTTTTGCTAACAAAAATTCATTTTTAAAAGGACAAAGTGGCTGAGAATGTATCTTAACTGGCAGAGTGTACCTTTGCACATATGAGGCCCTGGGTTCAATCCCTAGCTTCATACAAAGTGGTGTGTTAGGATGTTTTTGTAATCCCAGTGCCTGAGAGGTGGAGGCAGGAGGATCAGAAGTTCAGAGTCATTCTTGGCTACTAGTTATATGAGACTCTGTCTGAATAAATAATAGAACAAATGAATAAGGGCCAGTGAGAATGCTCAGCAGGTAAAGGCACCTGTTGCTAAGTCTGATGACCTGAATTCTATCCCCAGGATGGTGGAAGGAAAGAACTAACTGCCTCAAATTGTCCTCTGACCCCTCACAAGTGCTTGCATTTCACAATGATTAAATAAATAGGCAAATAAGTAAAAGGAGAATAGGATTAATTGATTTATCTCTCCCTCAGAAGGGAATATTCTGTTTATGAACTGTGTGACTTTTGGTAGGCTCATTAGTCTCTGTTTTTCAGCTTCTCCTGGATAAGATGAGAATACTTGACTCTACCTCAGTGACATGGTTCTGAGGTTTAAATACAATGGAAGGGCTCTGACCACAGTAGATGAGACATACTGCACTTTCTTCATCTGGAGAAGAGGTTCTAGCTCCCTCATATTTAGGACAGACCATCAGAGATGAAGATTCAAGGATGGGAGACAGGAAATGAGAGGGGAAGGGAGAAAAGGGTGGTCAGAGAAGAGCTGGGGATGGGAGGTGGAGATGGAAGGAGGAAGATGAAATTAAAGAGTGTGAGGGACCAGGAAGCTTGATAAACAATGGGCTTGTTTGGGGAAGTGGGACTTTTCCAATCTCCTCTCCTTGTGTTCCTTTCAGGAGAGACCACTGGGACAGGACGAGATTGATGGTAAGTCCTTGCTTAGATGCCCTCCCATGTTAGCCCCTCATTGCTGCCCCCTCCTCCACTTTTGTAAATTCTTTCATGTGAGGATTCCTTTCCCTCCTCCTGCTAAATGTAATTTGCATAGCTCATTCTCTGTCATTTTAGGCTCTGTTAACAGGGTGTCTGTCTCATTTGCATGGGTCTGAGGAACAAAGAAATGATGCAAGTTTTAGATTTAAAAAATGTTACTATTTTTCTTTGGTTGGTTTTGAGATCTCTTGTAAGTTCACTCAAGAGTCTGAGGACTTCAGTGCTCTTGGGGGGTCATCTTCTCACTAGCACATTTTATATATCCTTGCTTTTTTTTTTTAAAATGAGTCATTTAGTTCATTAAATGTATTCTTCATAAAATCTCTAGTTGTGTCTTATTGATAGTTTCAAGGGATACCAGTCTTAGATACTGGCTGTTTCAAGTTGCTCTACAGCTCTTCTCTCTTAATTTTTAGAGCTCCGGGAAGCATTTCTTGAATTTGACAAGGACCGAGATGGGTTCATCTCTTACAAGGATTTGGGCAATCTCATGAGGACGATGGGTTACATGCCTACGGAGATGGAGTTGACTGAGTTGGGCCAGCAAATCCGCATGAACCGTGAGGACGGGTCGGGGGCATGCCCGGAGTTAGGACAGGGTGGGAATTAGGAAGGTGTTCAGGTTGACAGTAGCACTTTAAATAGGAAGGTGGTCCAGGGGAAAGAGCTGTCTGCCAGAAAGCAGCTCGGACTGTGCTGCATTTGAACTGGTTAGAAAAAGGACTTTTAGGGGGCCGGGAGGGGGGAGAACAAGGGAATCCGTGGCTGATATGTAAAATTAAATTATAAAATTAAAAAAATTATAAATAAATATAATGTTAATAAATGAGTCAAAAAAAGAAAAAAAAGACTTTTAAAGATGGATCTAGATACCGGTTACACCTTTTATGACTCAAAATGTTAAAGATTTAAAAAAAAATGTATATGAGTGTTTTGCCTGTATGTATGTCTGTGCACCTGCAGAAGCCAGAAGAAGGTGTCAGATTCCCTGGAACTGGGGTTACATATGGTCGTGAGCTACCATGTGGGTTCTGAAAACTAAACCCAGGTCCTCTGTAGGAGCAGACTGTGCTCTTAATATCTGAGCCTGTCCAGCTTCCCACTTAAAAATTTTAAATTGCATTTATATATTTTGTGTGTTAATAGAAGAAGGGGCACATGCGGATGCTACAACATCTGTGTGGTAGGGTACAGTTTTCAGGAGTCAGCTCTGTCCTTTCACCACGGGAGTCTTGGGGATCAAACTCAATGCCATCAAGCTGGGCAGCAAATAATTTTTACCTGATAAGCCATCTTCCTGGCCCACAAGTCCCATTTTCATTATTTACTCATTTTGGCCATTTTGAACAGTGGAATATTTCTGGACTATTCCTGGTTTTCACTTTCCTGATCTATCAAGTAAAGATATGATCATGGCTTACTTATTTATTGTATTGTAGAAAGGGAGCCACTGTGGGAAAGGTCATATTCCCCAATGAGCCCTTATTGTATGTAGGTTCTTATCAGTAGAGTAGCTTGGTGTTGAGCTTGATGGACACTGAACATACACCTGGACTTGGATCCAGTGTCACTGAGTAAGTAGCATTGCTCAGCAATGCATCATTAAATGCAAACCTAGGTTGATTCTGTGATTGAATCCAGAATTAAGTTGGCTCCTGGGCATGGATCTGAGTTAACAAGATTAAATTCCATGTCATAATAGAAGTTAGGCCCCTGTATGCTGGTTCCATATCTGTAGGTTCAAACAAGTGCCAACAGAAAATATTTAGAAAGGAGCTGTATCTACACTAAACATGTAAGGACTTTCTGCTATTCTGTTACGTAAACAATACAGCACAGCTGTTATTCACAGAGCATTTGAGTGTAGCAGATAATGGATAGTCTAGAGGTGACTAGATCACATGTGAGACTGCATGTACAGTATACACATATTATTACACATATAATACCACTTATGATAGGGTCTTGAACATCAACATGCTTTGATACACCATGGATACCCTAGCACCAGATTTCAGTGGATGCAATGGATGGCTGTCATCAAACTTGGAAGAGACTGGTCCACATTTAAATCTACATTTCTTCTATTGATCTATAGATGGTGGATGAATAAGCCTTAAGCCAGTAAGAAATTTGCTGTGTACGTCTGGACAGATCACTCTGTGGTTAAGAGTATCAACTATTCTTATAGAGGCCCTGAGTTTATATCCCAACACCCATGTTGGGGAGCTCATAGCCATCTGTAATGCCACCTGCAGGAGAATCTGATGCCCTCTTCTGGCCTCTGTGGGCACTGCACACACACACACACACACACACACACACACACACACACACACACACACATGCACACAGAGTTTAAAATGAAAAATAAATTAAGGAGAATTGCTGAAGATAACCCAGTTATACCTATATCCTTTGTTTAATAAGTTCATTCACATTAGAGCAACCTGAGGGCTTGACTTGTCTGAGAAAAGGAAGAGACTCAAAGAAAACCCTTAGCATACAAGAAGATGGGAGTTGACCTATTTCTGAGTTAAATGGGAAAGTAGTGCAGGGATAGAAGCTCAGAACCTGTGGAATCATTGCTAACCATGCTCCATCTTCCTCAGTTGGTGGCCGTGTAGACTTTGAAGACTTTGTAGAGCTGATGACCCCCAAATTGCTTGCAGAGACAGCAGGGATGATTGGTGTCCAGGAGATGCGAGATGCCTTCAAGGAGGTGAGTTAAAAACTCCATAATGCTGACAGTGGGGTGAGGGAGACCTCAAGGAGCTAGTTTTATTAGTCCACACCATGGCAGTGCTCATTTAAATCAACTAGTTGGGATTAGATACAGAGGAAAGGAGAACTACATATTCCAAACACCTGGCAATATGCATTTTTTTTGACCCGTACATACAGTATTAGGGATAAGCACACATCTATTCCCATTGTATGCATGAAGAAACTGAGAATCAAGGATTGCAAATGATACCCATGTTTCCCAAGGTAAATACTGGAACCTCTAATCTTGGTTTCTGTGACGGAAGGAAGAATCTAAGAGTTTGATATTTTCAAAAGGGCAGAGCTGTTCTATGGAAGGAAGCTTCTAGTACAGAGGTTGTTGGACAGGAAGATGTTTGTGGAAGGGAGGCAAGTCTTAGTGCTAGATATAACAAGAAACAGATAAAGTTTCTAGGATTTGGTGGCATGGATCAGTGGCAAAGCACCTGCCTAGAATCCCCTAGTGAGGGGCTGGGGTGTGGCTCAGTGGTAGAGTCCCTGCCTAGAATCCCCCAGTAAGGGGCTGGGGCATGGCTCAGTGGTAGAGCCCCTGCCTAGAATCCCCCAGTAAGGGGCTGGGGTGTGGCTCAGTGGTAGAACCCCTGCCTAGAATCCCCCAGTGAGGGGCTAGGGTGTGGCTCAGTGGTAGAACCCCTGCCTAGAATCCCACAGTGAGGGGCTGGGAACATGGTTTTGCAGTAGAACACTGCTTTAATGTGTGCAAGGCCTTGGCCCTTCTTTGGCTTTCATGTCACATGTATTCTGTTTTCTCCTTCCCTCTTTCTCCTCCCATTTCTTCTTCCCTTCTCATAGTCTGCTTTCTAGTTTCATGACACACACATGCATACATATACATACTCAGATTTAAATCTATGTTCCATGTATGAGAGAGAACATCTGATTTTTGTCTTTCTGGCTTATTTTGTTTAACACAGTTGTTTTCAGGACCATCCATCTTGCAAATGTCATAATTAAAATTTTCTTCATGGCTGAATGAAATTGTCAAAGAATAAATAATATATTCTACTAAATATTTATAATAATATAATACTCATAATAATCTATAAAAATATAGTGATATATGATAATAATAAAAAGCTTGGGGTGAGTAAGATAATTCAGTGGGTAAAAGCACTTACTGCCAAGCCTGATGATCTGAGTTCAATCCCCAGGACTCACATAATGGAAAGAGAGCAACAACTCCTGCAAATTGTCCTCTGACCTTCACAGGTGCACCATGGCATGCATGTGTCCACACATACACATACACATAATAAAACAAATAAATAAGCAAATAAATGTAATAATTTGTTTAAAGACATGGAAAACAAACAAAAGCTAAGAAGAACAAGGAAGCTCCTGGCCGTGATGGATAAATCTGTCATACTAGTTGTGACAGATTTCATGAATCTATGCAGATGTCTACACTCATCCAGTTGTGTGCATTATACATACAGAGCTTTTTGTATATCAGTTACACCCTTAATAAATATGTTAAAAATAATGTAGATGCAAATTTAAAAGAAGCCCTATACTGGAGGAGCTAACATTCCAGTGGATGACATGTCTTCAGTACTTAGCTTGGTTCTTAACCTCCAGTGAATGACTTGGAACCCTGACCTTCCCTGAGGCTGTAATCACCACTGAAGCTAATCTAGCCTCATTGCTTCTGTTTAGTTTGATGCCAATGGAGATGGGGAGATCACATTGGCAGAGCTGCAGCAGGCCATGCAGAGGCTGCTGGGGGAGAAGCTCACACCCCGGGAGATTTCTGAAGTGGTACAGGAGGCTGACATCAATGGAGATGGCACTGTTGACTTTGAAGGTAATACACTGGGCAGAAATCCAGGAATCTACATCTGTTCCTTCCCCATGTGGTTCTCCAAGTCACCCACTCCTTATAGCTCTCCAAGTTTGCATTTGAATGTTCTAGTTTTATTTCTCTTGCTGTGATAAAGTGGCTCACTCATTGGCCTTTGCTCAGATAACTTTCTCATGCAGAAACCGCCTGCCCACAGAATGGTGTTGCCCACAGTGGACTGGGACCTCTTGCATCAGTTAGCCACGAAACAATGCCCCATATTTATGCTCTCAGGCCAGTCTGATTGTGGCAGTTCTTCAGTTGAGTTTTCCTCTTCCTAGACAACTCTAAATTGTGTCAAATTGATAATAACTATAAACTAGTACACTGTGGGATCATATCTGAGGGAGGCATACGTTGGCTACATCAAGTTTAAATTGTGATATTCTCTGGTTTAAAGTACTCAGCATCTAGCTATTGCCTTCAGGCATGGGGCCAAAATGTGTAGTCTGTTCTCCAAGGCAATGACTCTTCAGCTCACCCAGTCCTGTCTTCTGTAACTGTGCTGTGAATTGGTATGCCCTGGGGAAATGTGTTTCCTATTGCTTAACCTTTTTTTTTTAAGATTTATTTATTTATTATATATACAGAAAAGGGTGCCAGATCTCATTACAGATGGTTGTGAGCCACCATGTGGTTGCTGGGAATTGAACTCAGGACCTCTAGAAGAGCAGTCAGTGCTCTTAACCTCTGAGCTATCTCTCCAGCCCCCTATTGCTTAACCTTTAACTTCTCTTACTTTGTTACTCACTTCCTGTCCACTTGTTGCACTTCTAAGACATCCTTCAAAGACACATGCCAATCTCCCCTTTCCCTTGCCTGCGTACATTAAACCTGACAGGCCTTTTTGTTCTTTTCCATGGAATGTATCTTATGTTCGTTTCCATGCTGCAGAACAGCTGAGGATCTTCCACCCACCCCTTCCTTTTGCTGGTGTTTGTGTGTGAGGCAAATGTACAATATGTGTGTGTATGTACACTCACAGAGATCAGAGGAGGGTATTGGGTGTCCATCTCTATCACTATCCACTTTATTCCCTCTAGACAAGGCTGTCTCTGAATCTGAAGCTAGGCTGGTAACTTGCAAGATCCAGCAATCCTCCTCTTTTCACCTCCCACAGCACTATGGTTACAGGTGCACACTGGAAATTTTAATGTGAGTACCAGGGATTCAAACTGAGCTATTCATGCTTTTGCAACCAACACTCTTACTCATGGATCCAGTTCCCCAGCCATTCAGAGGGGTCTTTGAAAAGCCATGTCTGCTCTACAAGTCCCCAAATGAAAACTTAGTACATTTGTTGGGTACCCACTGGATCTTATCGGTCTCAGATATACTTTGTGCATCAGTGAAAATGGGGAAGAGGTGGAGGTGTGGCTATCAGATTTATAGGCCAACTACAAGCAAGGGAAGGATAAGATGACCTCAAGATGTGGTGGAGCCAGCAAATTCATCTGACATTACATCTAGACAAAGTAATGGGGAATCTGTTCATTCAGGGCATTCTATTCACTGTCTACTTGATCTTGAACAAGCCAGTGTCCCTTACTAGCCTCTATTTCTTTTCTCTAAGATGGCACCAGGAGGGTTGAAATATGGAACGAAGGCTAGACATATAGCCCAGTGGGTAAGAGCTTTTGCTGCCCAAGCATGAGGACCTGAGTTTGGATACCTAGTACCTATGTGAAAAAAAATGTTCAGGCGTGGCCCCATGGCTGTAACTGGTGGGGGATAGTGGTGGAGATCAGAGGTTCACTGCAGTTCCTTGGCTATCAGCTTAACAAAGAATTGGTGAGGTGAGTCTGGAGAGATGGCTCAGTGGTCAAGAGTGTTAGCTGCTTTTCCAGAGAATCCAGAACTCATGGCAGTTCACAACTCCACTTCCAGTGAGATCTTCTGGGCACTGTATGCATGTGGTACACAGGCATCCATGTAGGCAAAATACCAATGCACATTAAAACAACAACGATAACTAGTGAGGCCCAGGTTTGGGGAGGGACCCATTTTCAAGGGAATGAGATGTGGAGCATTAGAGGAGGACACTGGGCACCCTCCCCTAGTGTCCCCATGTACATGTGTGGGTGCACATGCACCTGGACATACATGCATATACCACACACACACAAGAAAAAGAAAAGATGACATAAATATCATATATGAAATAAATTTCAATAAAAGATGAAATAAATGAAACTAATAATTTTTATTTATAAGCACTTAGTATGATTTTTATGGACAGTGTGTCAGAGAGAATTCAAGTCATTTCCTAAAGATGGATGTCACTAACTACAATACAGGAAAATCTCCCCAAAGTAACTCCAGTTGCTTTTACTAAGAGGAGCTTCACAGGAAATTTTCTTTTTCAGAGTTTGTGAAGATGATGTCTCGTTGAAGAGGTAATAAGCTCCAGACACACACTGCCTTGTCAACATGAGACTGGATTCCCAGGAGCCCTTGAAGGGTGGAGGGTGGGAGTGGACTTGCCATGGTATGGACTTGGGTGTAACTGCAAACAGTTGCTTTGCTTTTGGGGAGCAGAGACAACTATAGAAGCAGATTTAGAAGGAAGACTGTGTCCATAAGTAGGAATTGCATTAGGACCCAGCTGCCACTCAAACATTCCAGGGGCTATGACATCTTTCCCTAATTCTCTGTTTCCCAGCAGATTCTCCTTCCATGTTTCCCTTGGGAAAAGATGGTGTGGGGAACTTTTTCACAGCCTGCAGGAAGAAAAGAAAATCTTTCAAAAAGTTCCACACCGAGCCTACTTTCCTCCTGGCTCCTCTAACAACAACCCTGTTTCCTTCTCTTGGCAAGAGAGTGTCCCACCAGTCACAGGGCTGTAATGGGGATCCTGATAAGTCTCAGCTTGGAAATGCCTCAGGAAGGAGGCCTTCAAGGTTGAGTTTTCCCAATTTCCCAGAAGCACAGTCCATTGCTCCCCTGTAAACACCCATGTCCCTGTCCCAGTGTGAGATAACCAAGGGGAACTGAGCTAAACCACTAATCTGGATTATCAAGGTTTAGAGCAGGCTGATCCCTGGGGGGAACTAATCCCCTGCAAAATATCTTGAGCTTGGGGGGAGTAGGAGGAGAAGACAGAATCCCCCAAATCCCTAGCTCAGCCAGGTGACTGAAATGCCCTTCCCAGAGGCCCTCTGCCCCTGTGCTGATCTGCCCTGGGCTGCTTCAGGTGAGTCTCTACCTTAGGTGGTTTGTGGACTCCATCCCTCACATACTCACATGGATCTGGGCACTTCAGCTACTTTATCACTCAAGATAATGAATTCTTGTCATGCCTTCCTCCCAACTTTTCTTGCTTTGAAGTCCATTAGGTAGAACTATAGAATATGTTATCTGATCTATGACCCAATAGCCTCAATGTATATGACTGAAATAAAGTAAAAGTAGAAGAATAATATATGTCTTATCCTCTTGCCTGTGGTTTCTCTGTTTATGTTACTCTCTGGGGACCACTTGAATTTATTTTAGCATTTTTTCCTTTTAGTATTTGTGTAGTAGTTTTCTCTGAATTGAAACATTTCAACCCAGAGGAAAGCATGTTAATACTCAGGAAATCCTAAACGAGGATTCTTAACACTCAACTATGGGTCTTGAAAGATGGCTCTGCAGTTACGAGTACTGGCTGCTGTTCTTCCAGAGGACTCAGGTTTGATTCTCAGCACACACATGGTGGCTTATAACCATCTGTAATGTCAATTTCAGGGTATCTGGCTCCCTTTCTGGCTTCTGTGAGAACTGCATGCATGTGGTGCACACACATATGTGCAGGCAAAACATCTATAGACATTAAAAAATGAAGATTGAAGATATGGTCTTGGCTTTCTTGGGAATGATGATCTGGAGGGAGGTAAAGTGAGAAAGTGGGATGATTATATCTACTGGGACATGTGCAGCCTACCAGTGGCCGTGTCACTCAAAGAGAGTGATTATCCCATTTGAAACAGCCAATCACTCTTCTAATAGGGGTGGAGACTTAGTGGCCCTGCCTCCATCTGTGATGGAGTTTTGACTTAATTGATCTTGTGCAGGTAACTATTGCTACTATGAGTTGATGAAGCCCACAGCCTGCCTGTGCCCAGAAATCAGCATTTTACAGCTTTCCTCCCCATCCACCAACTCTTAAAATTTTTCAGCCCTTCCCTTCCATTATATTACCTGAGCTTTGGTGGGAGATTGATATAGATGGCTTGTCCACAGTTGAGCACTCAGTGTTAGTTATACTTGGCACTTTGGTTTCTGTATTAATCATTACCCACAGCATGAAGTAGTTTCTCTGATCAGAGTAAAAAAAAATAGCTCTGAAAAAAACCACAAATCTATTTATATCTACAAATATTTAGAATGCAGTTTGACAGAATAACCATTTTGTGAAACAACGGGTTTCCTTCCATGGCCTATGATTTCTATAACCACAGGCTTTTGACCAGGTTTACAGTACCCAGGCATGAATTCTTTCTCATGATGCAGGCTTCATAGCCAATCAGTAGGCAGTAGGTTACCCCCATAACTGTCCTGCTGTTAGCAGATCAGTATTGTAGAATTCAGTGTCCACTGCTGGGCAAAACCACTGATGCATGGACAGCATTAATTAGACTCAGAGGGTTATTAATTATAATAAAAAGAGGACATGGCGTTGATAAGGGAATGGGGTGGGGTCACTAGGGAGAGTTAGAGGGAGGTAGTGGTATATTGATATGATCAATATACACTGAATAAATGTTTGAAGCTATCAAAGAATAAGATGTATTTTTTTAAGATAAAAAACAAAATAACACACACAGATGAAATTTGGGAAGAATAAAGAATAGCTTAATTAGAATGGCAAGAGAAGAGAGCTCATTGAAGATGGTATGTCTCAGTTTAGGTTTTCCAAGTGTTTTCTCTGTATGAGGGTCAACATGAACTGGCAGGAGATTCACTGCAAGAGAATCAACCCTGTGAAGGAAAGTGAAAGGGGTGGGATCAAGCAGAAGAAACCGAGCTTTGGACACAGCCCTATGGAGTTGTTTCACTTGAACTGCAACACCTGAAATCTGGCCTCATTCACTCCTACTCTGTCAACTGAGATGGACATGAGCCTGGGGGGTGGGAGGCCACTTGGAGCTGAGGCTACTTCTAACTTGGGCTGGCCACTGATGACTCTGCAGCCAGGACAATTGGACAAAGTTCCTTTCTTAAGAGGGATCTGCCCAGCCTGATTCCATTTCCATCACAAGGGCACTTCAGCCTTTAACAGAGGGGGATGCAGCAAAGTGGGAAGGTGTAGGGAGATGAGGGTAGACTGCTTGGCTAAAGTCAAGGCTCATAGGCTTGGTGAGTTTCTTAGTGTTCTATTGCTGCGAAGAGACACCATGACCATGGCAACACTTATAAAAGAAAGCATTTAATTGGGGCTTGCTTGCAGTTTCAGAGGTTTATCAGAGAGTATGGTGGCATGCAGGCAGACAAGGTACTGGAGAAGTAGCTGAGAGTTTTACATCCAGATCCACAGGCAGCAGGAAGAAAGAAACTCTGGGCTTTTTGAAATCTTAAAGCCCACCTCCAGTGTCACACTTCCTCCAACAAGGCCACACCTAATTCTTTCAAATAATGTCATTCCTTGATGACTACGTATTCAGCTATATTAGCCTATGAGGGCCATTCTTATTCAAACCACCACAGTGAGTGAGGATGGTGTGATGAAGGAACACAGGCAGAGAAGGAAAGAAAAGAAAAGCCTTAATATTGTGGGGTATCCAGCAGAAAAGATTGCTCAGACATGGGTTTAAGCCAACAGAAAGTCTTTATTATGTAAATATACCACATTTTACTTATCCATTCTTCAGTTGAGAGATATCTAGGTTGTTTCCAGGTTCTGGCTATTATGAATAAAGCTACTATAAACATAGTTGAGCAAGTGTCCCTGTGGTATGATTGAGCATCCTTTGAGTTTATGCCCAAGACTGGTTGGTATATCTGGGTCTTGAGGCAGATTGATTCCCAATTTTCTGAGAAACCATCATATTGATTTCCAAAGTAGCTGTACAAGTTTGCACTTCCACCAGCAATGGAAGAGTGTTCTTTTGTTTCATATCCTCAACAGCATGAGCTGTTGCTTGTGATTTTGATCTTAGCCATTCTGACAGGTGTAAGATGGAATCTCAGAGTTGTTTTGATTTACATTTCTCTAATGGCTAAGGATGTTGATCCTTTTTTTTTAATATGTTTCTCAGCCACTTGAGATTCTTTTGTTGGGGATTTTCTGTTTAGATCTGTACCCCAGTTTTTAATTAGGTTATTATTATTTTTTGATGTCCAGTTTCTTGAGTTCTGTATATGTTTTGGAAATGGATAGAACTAGAAGAAAAATCTTCCTGAGTGAGGTAACCCAGACCCAGAAAGACAAACGTAGTATTTACTTACATATAAGTGGATATTAGCTCTAAAGTAAAGGATAACCATCTGCAATCTACAGACCCAGAGAGGCTAGGTAACAAGGAGGGCCCAAGGTTGTGAGAGACTCCTGGATCTCCCTGGGAAGGGGAAATAGAAGATATCTCATGGATGGACTGGGGGCGGGTAGTTATGGGAACATGAGGGGTGGGGTTGAGAAGGTGAGTGGAGGGGGAGAGTACTGGAAGAGATGACTGGAAAGGGGGTGCATTTCAGGGTCAGATGGAAACCTAGTGTAAGGGAAACTCCCAGGAGTCTGCAAGGATGACCCCAGATAAGACCCCTAGCAACAATGAATACATAGCCTGAACTGGCCATCTTCTGTGACTAGGCAAGACTTCTAGTGGAGGGATTGGAACACCAACCAGCAACACAGTCTTTGACCTACAGTCTGTCCCGCCTATGGGAGGTGCTGGGGTAAGGGTGGTGCAGAGATTGTGGGAGTGGCCAACCAATGACTGGTCCAACCTGAGACCCATGCCATGAGACCAGTCATTTGCACCAATCTTTGAGTTTCTAGAAAGAAAGACTAACCTTCAGGGACATCTAAGAATTCTTGGACCAAGAGTCTGATCTCTTTGAGTGAGAAATGCCTTGCACAGGCTCAAGTGATTGAATACTTAGTCCTCAGCGAATGACAAGGTTGTGGAACCTTGGAGAAATGGGTCTTAGCCTACTGATAGCTAGATGTGGGTCTTGAATGTTATACATTCTTTTTGGTGCCAGCCTGAGCTCTCTGTTTTCTGATGCAACAAGATGTGAGAAGCAGCAGTTGTAAGCTCCTGCCACTACATATGAAGATGCTCCAACTGCCATGCCTTTCCCACTGTATTGGACTAATATTCCCTAAAAACATGAGCTAAGATAAACCCTTCCTCTTTTTTTTTTTAAATAAATTTTGCCTCCATTTTTTTTTAAGTTTAATTTTTTTTAAAGATTTATTTATTTATTATGTATACAGTGAGTGTTCGGCCTGCAGGCCAGAAGAGAAACCCTTCCTCTTTTAAGTGGTTACTGTTGGCTATTCTGCCACAGGACAGGAAAAGTAACTGTAGAAGACTCACTGACATGAGGGCTAGAGAGATTGTTCAGCCTTTAAGAGCATTGACTGTTCTTCTAGAGGATCCAGGCTATGTTTCTAGCATCCATGTTGTACAGCTCACAGCTGCCTTTATCTCCATCTCCAGGAAATTAGACACCTCCTTCTGCCTTCTGTGGGTACCTGAATACACATATTACTATACATTTAGATACCCCTCCACACACTAAGACCCCCATGTCTACCATATGCTTTATTCAAACAGTTGAGTTCAGGCTTTTGTGTTTATACCATACTTTCCTTCTGCTTCTGACACAAAATATCCACTTGAAGCAGAATGTTAAATACTGAAACTGAAACATTGGACCAATAGGGGTCTTGGGATGGAGACTTTGTCTCAGATGGGTTTAACACAGGAAATAAGGTGTCAGATATTCATGGTAATACAGAGCACTAGGTCTTTGTCTCACCAACTTAAAAAAAATGAAATCCACAGTCAGCAAAAGGTTAGTTTTAAAAAGGAATTTTATTCTCAAAAGAAGGCTTATAGAAGAAAGGTTTAAAAAGTTACTACAGAGATAAGGCAAGTTGAGACTCCAGTGCCAGTGGGAGGGGACCCCAGTGGGCTGCTTTTGATCTGCTGCTCAGGGGCTTTTTATGGGTCTGCAGCAGAAACTGGACAAAAGGTAATTTTTTCTTGAGGTTAGTTTTTTTTGAGTATATTGGGGGCTGAGTCAATTGGGAAACTCCATAGTCTGCACATTTCCCTGGCCCAACCAGGGTGACAATCATGGGCTTTCACATATGGTGTTCCCTACTAGGGGGTACCTATGCAGATGTACTGAAGGCCCCAGTTCTGACCTTAGCTCATCCACTGGCTGCCACCAATCCTAGACAGGGCTGCCCACTGTTGACCTTGCATGTGTCACTGGTATTGGACTTTGTTGGTGTCTGCTAGCTGTTAATGAAACCATGTTCCTACTGTTTCTTGATTTTGTGACTAGTTTGTCATTTTTACCCTGGACTATTTCCCTTTATGGTCTATGAGGAGTCCACATAACCACAGCCACCAAGATGTAGTTGCAGTTTTTCTTGGGTATATCTTATTTAGCTGCTTGTATGCTGGGTGGTCTGGGGCAGATAGGTGGAAGCTTTTTTGAAGCCATCTTTAGTTTGGTCTGTGACCATAAACACCAGTAGTACAATTTGGTCTGTGTTAATGAGCACTGTTAGAATACATGGAAGACAACAGTGCCTTC